TTAACAGTCCATGATTTGCTCCTGTAGATTGGTAGTCTGACCAAGATTATAGGGCTAAGATCAAGGATCCTTTTCAGAAATTAGTCAATTAAAGGTTAGAGAAAAGCAGAGAGGTAATGAATTTGGAACATTATATACAGAGATCAAGAAGCCAAAATGCCGAAATTTTGGATGCTACATGAATTCATGTTTCCCTGAATTAAAGAATTAAACAATTTAATTTCTTTAAGAAATAAATGAATCTGCTCAAGGGTTATACACTTCATGTTAACGGTGCAACTCATAGGGATTTTTCCTCTCATTCACAATGCTTGTATATTACCATCTTTTTATGCCACTAACATATAAATATACATTAGAAACTCCAGCTTCTAGGAAATCAGAGAGAGATGAATCTACTAACTTTGGGGTCCCAGTTTGCGAAACGTTCCTACATTGTAAAGGTATCTACCCAATCTTTGAAGAATTTTCGTTTTCTGTTTTCCTGTTTTTAGTTCTATTTTGATCGTGTTTATGTACACGTGCTTGAGCTCAAAAAACGTTCTGAGTTTATTTGAAACTGTGTAATACAATAGGACTGACAGAAAATTTATTTTTGCATGGAAAAACCAATTTACATAAGACTCAACAAAGAGAAGAGAACCGGGAGAATCGCCATTAAGGCTCCAGTTTTAAGAGTCGAAGCTGATGCTTCGGTGCTTATGGTTACCTTCTATCTCATGCTGCAGTGGTTGCTGACGGTGCAAATGAAGTACAACTCGGTGGAATTGACAATGAAGCTTGAGGGGCTGGTTGTTTGGACTGGACTAAGAGCATTTGCTGAAGTGCAGTCATCATAGTTTTCTTTGGCAACTTGGACCACATTATGTGTGCCATTCCAGTTGAATACTGCAGAAAATTAGTGAAAAATTAGTATGAAATGTCTTTCACAAAAATATATGCCTTCAAATTAGTAGTAGTAACAAATTAGCAGGAAATGAAGGAAATTAACAAGGTAGCTAGAGGACTTGAAACCATAACGAATTTGGTTCAAGATTTTCACCATTTTGTATAGTTTTTGCAGCTGGATACAACACCCCTCGTGTTTTTCTACCATAATAGTGGTCATGCAGGTCAGTCTGTGATTTGAATGTTCAAATCTTAAATTTTTCATTTGAATGATTAATTCATCCATTTTAAATTTTATGATGCAAGATGACAGTTCCAAGATCAACTTACATCATTTTAATGATGCGGGATTATATGGTCCTGAGTGTTGCAGCATTTAATGAGGTTGAGGTATGAAATTCTTGAACCTGATTGGTAAATTATTACCTGCTTTCAGCAAAAAGCTGGAAATTTGTGATGGCTCAGTCGGGTGTAATGGAAGCCACGTGAAATTTCTGGAAGGGAAACTACTTTTAGAGCTAATTTATTGATAGGTGGTTAGTTCTTTTTTCTTAAAAAAATGAAGTGGATTGTAACCCAGTGGAAGGCGGGAAGAATTACGTTTAACACAATCTGCAATTTCTAGCAATAAATTCTTGTGGTCTTTTTGGCCGTTATACAGTTAAAGTGATGATAATTCGTGTCTATGCTATCTCGATTTTATCTACTCCATCTTGCAGAGTTAGCAGTTTAAAGACACCTTGGCAATTTATCTTTGAGTCCATAATATACCATTTTTCTCCACATAAGATTCTGATAATCAGATACCCAAGTCATTATGGACCAATTTATTTTATTTAAATTTTACTTGAGTGTGCAAAAAATTGATCCTGTCCTCTCAACCATACCGATCGACAAAACATTCCATCCTTCTCTTTAAAGTGTGTTAGGTATAAATTTTGGGAAAAGGAAATGCAGCTGGGATAATGTTTTTGTTATTCCAGAATTTAGGGAGAAGGTATGCTTTTTAAATCTAAAATGCAGACTTAACTGATGCTGACAGAGAAAAATATAGAGTAAAGGTGAACTCAAGCACAAGTCCAAACCAAGCCCTGATATCATGCAAAATGATGGGACGGAAATGGTCTTTCAAGAATATACACAATACCAACCTGCGATCAACGACAGGAAAATGGAAGAGCAGCGCCCAGCATTAGCTGATAGGGATGAAAGGGCTGGGGTTTTAATCAGAGTAGAACCAATCGCAGTTAGGTACCGCGAAACAAAGTGCTAAACAATTAGGAAATGGATCTTCAAGTAGGGAAAACAAATTGCCTCCTTCAGAAGCTGATGTGCAGTTAGGAAATTCTCCTGGACCATTTTCTGATGCACTTAAGATGATA